CTCCATACTATGTATATCTCACCATCATTTAGTAAAACGGATTCTTAACCCTTCACCACAAATTTTAGTATCTAGTCTTAAGTTACCATAGGTCGGATAAGAAAGAACATGGTTCACGGAGCAATAAATCTATAACTATTAATTAACCATTAGGGATAATTAACGACTCTAGATAACTGGCATGACAACGAACCTGACATACATATACTTCTACCTCATATAAAGCGATATTACGTTGACACATCTGGTTGAAAAAAACAATAAAAACTTATCATTAGCATAACTTATCTATGAAAAGGCAAATTAGCACCTAAAATACTGCCAACATTTTAGAGTTTCATACTAAAAAAGCCCGGTATTTTAATTCTTAGGTCAATTTTATGCCTCTATCCCGTCTAAAAGCGAGCATATTGAAGTGTTGCGAGTAAAACGCAAATCTCTAGAGAGGTATTAGCTAATTGCAATACACTATAGTAAAAGTGTTTTTTATAAACATCGGTATGCGTTTTAAGTGATTATTTTGATGGATATGAGTTTTAAACTAGTACGATTGAAAATTGTATAAACTTTTTTAGTAAATTTTGATGATTTGTTTTTCTAGAGGTAAATATTAATACTTTGTTATATGAAGTACCAGTAATGTCAAATTATGTGACCCTTTAATCTAATAATCTAATCCTGTAAGAAACTAGCATTAAGTAATAGAAATTGTTTTTTTTAGACCTCCGGGAAAAAACATTATTTATTAATTTAATTATTAATTCATATTTTTACGAGGATTCTGTGTAAAACATATTTCTTTTACAACTAATTTATTTAAGTTGTCAGAGCTATAGAGTTTTACACGTTTCTCTATAATACATAATATATGAAACGGTATACTATTCCGTGAAGGTTCTGCGCAATTATAACAAAAATAATTGCTGGTTTAAAAGATATAACAAATACAACTTATACAAACAATTGTTGTCACATTCATAAATTTGTCTAAGGGATGGAGGAAAGTAGACATAAAATGTAAATAATTCAACGAATACGAGCCTCGGGAGATGTTCTCCAAACAAGCTCTAATTACGTTAACAATAATATAATTCATTGCCACATTCACATTACCAATATTACTTATGAGTTATGGCATACCCTTGAGGCTGCTTTTCTGTTTATGTCAGTTTGGTAGTTATAGAAAATTAATGACCTTATCAGCTTTTAATGATGTTTTTTTTCATGTAAAAATAATAGAAAATAAAAAAGGTATAGGTGTCGTATGTGTGTATATCTGAACTGCTGTTTTTGGTTTTATCTGTAAAAATTAAACGGATTAAAAACAACATTCTCAGTTTTGTCTTATTGAGTAGGTGTCGGTTCGATTTCCGGCTGTATTTTTGATGAAGGAAAACATTGTGAGGAAACCGGCTTGCCTTAGTCCCAAAAAGTCTACGGCGTGTGTCAGGCACAGGAAGCTGATCCCCTTTTTGCCTGTTAGATTGAAATGATCATGAAACAGCTTCAGAACTCTGAGGCCTAGACCTGAACAGGTTGTAGCGCCACTGATTTAATTTTTTAGACAGTAAGTCAATTGGCACAGCCGGGGATCGAAACCTCCTCAGAGTCGCACGGTAAGCCACTAACCCAACACTGCTTTACCCGATACATTTTACGCTTTTAGGGCATGACCACATTATTAAGCGTGATAAACAAAACATACTTTTTATCCATCTGCAATCAGCCTCCTGGCTTTTATCAGATTTTATGAAATGATGGCAATAAGGGAACGCAAATCCAATAATTTTTCATTTCTCTCCGTAATTCGTAAACTATCTGATAGTGCGGCAAGTTTCGCCCTTTTCAGCCGATACACACAGTCCGTCGTTTCCAAGAGGCCCGAAGCAAAGCCGTAGGGGGTTGACGTGTTGCTGAAGCCTCCTTTTGTATCGTACGGTTGATGTTATAATGTCTTCCTTGACAGTGGCAATTCCCAAATATTTATGGACTTCAGCAAATCGTGTTTACCACGGCCCACCGCTCATATATCGTTAGTCAAAACATTAAATAAATCTCTTTAACCGATATAAATCTGATTTGATTACATAATTAACTTCATATTCATGTTTTGAATTGCTTTACAGAAATCGTTAAGTTATCTTTACTAATATTATAATATTGTGTGTAAACGAATAAAGTAAAAAAATCTTTCACCATGCCGATATTATTCCTGGGTAATATATTAAAAATAATCTACTTGCGTAAACAATATCTAAAGTTTTTCCCAGAATCGAAATGGTAGCACTGTAATTTTCTCTATACTGTATATACAAAGATAATTACGAATATTAACGGCTCCGTTTAAAGCTCGTTTAATTACTCTTGAAAATCGTTTATTATTAGAGCGAACCAAAGTTGTCTATTATGGGTATTGGTGCAGAAGCGGTTTAGCAAACTTTCTTGTTTACGGTGTCATTTTGATCCATTAATCATGTCTTGTTATACACAAAGATAAAGATTTTTCATGACAAGGATGAACACAAGTATTTAAAACTGAAAATATTATTTACCAAAATTAGGGACTTGTATAAACAAAGTCAAAAGGCGCCTATAAATTGACTTATCTATTAAAAAAGGGTGCGTGTCAAACTCAAAAGCTACTCGTTTAAGAAATTATAATCATTAGTATTTATATTTAAGCAAAAAATTGTTATTCGAATGAAATTATTAGATTACAGATATAATATCAATTTGCAAAAACTTTGACATTTGGAAAATCTTTGCTTGAGTGGCAAAACAATGAATATTGTCAATCAGAGTTCAGAAAACATTTTAGGCAGCTTGTTGAATGCAAAATTAAATAAATGAAATATTTATTATTATTCTATTATATGTATAGTTCAACCTAAGATTCAAATATTATGTATTCGAAATTGACAAAAGATTGTTTTTAAATTTTGTCTCAAAATGCCGTAGCATCTTCCGTGAGGCAACTACATTCTGTTAATTTTTTGAACTCACACCGGTTTTCGCATCGCGCAGTCGTAAATCATTTTACTCTCATTTTTTCATAACGCGCGCTTAAGTAGTTATTGTTATCAGACTTCAAAAATACTCACGACATTTCAAACTCAAAAGCATATAGTTTGTTACAAATGTATAACTCATTAATACAATTTCCGTCATGGATGGCAGTTAGGCGAGAAATTGTTATTATAATATTGCCATTTCGCACGATTAATTTTTTATTCAAGAACCTGAACGATTATTGTGCAATTCATGGCTGACTGTGGCACATATTTCCGGCCATCAAATTTTGCAGCTATAAAACTTTTGACATTTGAATTCGTAGCCCATACTTTTACGGGCTTTCAAAGATGGCTAAAACAATGTTAATATTTGTAACGAAGAAACTCACAAAGAAAACATTTTGGATTAACCTTCCTATGGCATGCTATTTTGATATGCAACATTATGCTGTTTAGTTTTCGTACGAATTTCAAAGTGAAATATTGTATTTAATTTGATTATATTGAATATGGTATAAATTCGAATCTTTTTGCTATTTTAGTCAAATAATTAAGGAGAAAAAGATACTTTGGAAAACAACTTGTATCAAAATATTTATTAAATAATGCCCCGTTTTCTGTCATGAATGGCAAGTAAGTTTTCTGTTCTCTGTGACAAATAATTTTATTTTTTATTATATACTGCGCTGTTGCGAGGTGTGGCCGCTTTTGTTTGCGTTGTTGCCGGACACAGTGTTGCAGCTTTCAGTCCCAGGCCGTTTAACGCGCCATAAAGTGTAGACATCGATGGTTAGATTGATATCACCTATAAAACTGAAGTACACTTTGCTCTATTGTCAATAGTTTCCGCAGCATAGGCGTTATAGGGAATATTGTTGATATTTTTCTACACCTTGAACTTGATTTAAGTATTTATACGCATCACAACTTTTTAGAAAATCTTCTATTGCATTTTTTCATCGGATATGGCGAAATTTTTTTATAACCGATCCGGTAGTTTAGGAGCCATTTCGATGTAAACAAACAATCTCTCCTATTTCTAATATTGTTGGCGCGTGAATAAACTAGTCAAAGTTTGTGATATGCGGAAAACTTATTCGTTAATTCTAGACATAATCATTGCGCACATATAAGTAAGAATGCTCACAACACAAAACTTTAAATCAAGTTAAACATTCCTATAATTCATTATTGTTTCACTGATATTCAAACCCAGGGTCAACTAAATAATACCGGACAATTAACCCAAGACTGTAGATATTTTTAATCTTAATGATGAACCTAATCCTCCTAATTATACTTTTAATCTAAATAAATGTATTCAATAATATAGGACTTTAATTTTCTCTAAACAAGCCAGTAATTAGGTGGATAGGCCAAAGGTCGCTGAAAGGTCACTCGGAACATAGAATAATTTAATATAATATGAATATCAAAGGTTATCTAACAAATTTGAAATTTATAACAAACTATATTGATTATTAATAAATCATGCCAAAGTATTAACGATATTGTAAATTATTGCATAGTTTCCCATGTTTTTGTTATCATCGTATTAAGTTACTGTAAAAATAAGATTAAATTTTTAACCCCAATGCCGTTTCAATTATTATTATTATTTATTAGTAACATATTTTAACCAATGGAGATATTTCTCTTTTAAACCACCAGAAGTGACATACTAGAAACATAAATGAAATTCATAGAAAATAGAAAATATGAAAAAGTTTTAAAATTTTAAAATTCTAAAATTTCAAACACGATAGCAGATCAGAGGTTTAGCTAGGTCACGTATCAAATAAAAAGGAACAAAAAATGGCGGCCATCGACAAATAGAGCGATTGATTTCCATTTCCACCAACTCAATAACTCACCAAGATGACGTTTCACTATAATTATTTGATTCATATTTAATATGTCATCAATATCGTTTTGCTTATATTTTAGATTAGATATTTTTCTAAAATGAAATGAAATTTTGTATTTTTTTTATAAAGTAAAAACAATTGCTGTTTCAGTGGTGGGTTTTCTCTTCTTTTTAAGTTTCTTCTTGGTTACAGTAATGATTCCTTCACCTCCATAATCATGTTTAGGGCTCCAGGGGAATGCTATGTTATGGATCCCCTTATCTCTCATATCTCGAACTTCATACTGATTCCATACAAAACAGCAAACATTCAGCCTGTTCTTACAGCCAGGTATTTCTGTAAGATGTAGATGCCGGGGACAGAGCTTGTAATTGATACAAATTCCTCCTTGTGACCAACACGGTGTGCTGATTAGGGATCCTAATGGGTTTAAAATAATTTAGCTTATTAAATTTTGTTTTAGGATTATCTCTCTCTCTCCTACCAACTTTTACATAGATTTTCTCTCGAAAATTACATACATTTTAGCTAAAGATCGTATCAAGCTGTAAAACAGACACGTAATGATTTTAGTATGTTTTTATTGGTATACAAAAATCAAATATATTATGAACAGCTAGTTCCTTTTTTTTATATAATAGGGGGGCAAACGAGCCTGCAAGACGCCCAAGGGCAGTCATCGCAGCCCATAAACACCCATTTTTAGTGGGTGTGTTGCCGGTCTGTGAAGTTTTAATTAATAAAAATTACAATTTTACCTTAGTAAAACATACATTTTATATGCTCTAACACAGTTTATGAGATGCATTAATTGTACTAAAATTCAACCTGCATTCAACATAAAATGAAATATGTACGGAAAGCTTACGTCGTGACGAAGCAAGCGATGATAGAGCGGAGTGGTAAGCCAGGAACTCGGCACGTAGATCCTCATATTCCTCATCCTCAGACAGGTCTAAGTTTGCATCATTCCTCAGTGACGTCACGAGGCCTGTGACGTCTTCACTGCCGCTCGAATCCTTTGGAATCCCATCCACTCTCATGCAGAAAACAAAAAATACAAAAAGCAAATACATTTTTCACTGCATTGCCGTTACCCGTGTGCCTTTTTCTTATTATGGCTTTATTGTTCGTTTTTATATTGAAAATGCATAAATTCCGATAAGCCGATGTGCTTCTATAACGCTGTCGCATAAAATATAACCGGTATGTATAGTTTTTTACGTGGCTGAACATTGCTAGGATTTTAGTTATTCTTTGTTATAAATTACACATTTGTACTTTAAATAAACAGCAAAATTTTGGGCTTCAAAAAATTTATTGAATCTCATGTAGTACGAGAATAAATTAAAAGACAAAACTGTTTAATATAATATTGAGATTTTATATGTATAATAAAAATAAACAGCTGATAATCCGATGGCAGAGACAATAAGGTTTACCACTGGCAACACCTCAAAAAATATGGATAGCTATAACATTTTTAGTTTCAACTGATGCAAATAAAATTTCTAGCATTAACTAGTCCTATATAATTATTTATACTTGCCATAGTACTGAATTCAATTATGAAATTGTTCAATCAATTCAAGCGCTTAATAATTTATATTTGTTTATCCAGGTCAACATTTGATATAAAATTAAACACATGAAAACCTACGCTGAGTTATTCTTAATTTGTGTAAACCGTCATGGGTACAAAACGTGGCGAAAAATATCCGTCTCGGATTCATGACCCACTACACGTCCTTACTGCAATTTATTTTGAATAAAGGGTTCATTATACTAAAAGCCTTAAATAATGTTTAATTGCTTTGTCCTTCATACCCTTTGACTGATTTTAAAACTGATTAAAAGTAACAGAAAACTTTTTTATAGTATACGATTCAATGTTATATTATACTTGGGGCACCCAATCGTACCATCATTTGATAAGATCCCGAATGTGTAAGTAATGAACTAAAAATATACAAAAACCATTTGGGTTATACTTAACGAAAAATGGTTGGAAGCTAACATGGCCCTTTACTCTAAAAACTGTAAAGCTACCAAGAAAATGTGAATGTGTCCCATTCGGCCTAATGGGACTAAATTAAACTCTCCAGCAAATAACAAATTGAAATTTTCCAATCAACTTTTATTACATTCTTGCGTTTCATAGAACTTGACGTTAATAATGTTATTGTATTTGAATATTATTTTCTTGATTTTCATCAAAACAACAAGCCAATTAAAGGTTGATAACAATAAAGATCTACTAATAACGAAGTATACAGATGTTTTTGCGCCCGGTATGAATGGAAAGCCACAACTTGGTTAGTAGTTCTACTATTTCTTTAAGATTTTCGGACTATAAATCATAGTCACAATTATTTTTTGATCGTAAATTAATTATAATTCTATATAATTAACGGTAAATAAACCACTGAGTTAAACGCACATACGTATGTGTTTCTACAAGTGGCAAAACTGACTTTACCGTGCTTGCTACGTATAAACCATATTGCGTATTAAAAGATGTAGTTTAATCTTGTTACGAAAAAAATACTTAAAATAGGAATTTTAAACGCGCAAGGTCGCACCATCTCGCGCTTTACGGATATTTTTATAATATTAAATACATGCAAAATATCCCAATCACCAACTAACGGATGAATGATTCGGTTGTGGACCGTACAGTCCTGCGATTCTGTAACTCACTTTTCGAACTCACACAGCGGTTTTCGCATCGGCGGTCGCTCTCAAATCAGTCGTGAAGCAGTCATTTTATGATTTGGCATTCTGAAAAGGTGGGAGCTTGTAGTTTATTGTTTATGAGAATGCCAAATCATAAAATGACTGCTTCACGACTGATTTGAGAGCGACCGCCGATGCGAAAACCGCTGTGTGAGTTCGAAAAGTGAGTTACGGAATCGCAGGGCAGTAGCTGATTTTATAAGTTTCTTTACTACTGCAGGTACAGGACAAGCTACTTGTTGGGCCCGTGGCGGCGTCTGTGTACATGTACGACACTGTCCGTCCATGAACTTTGATGCCGCAGCATTTGGATGCTCTCAAGGGTATAAAGTCTGTTGCAGAGTCCAACAGCCATTGTCTCCTACGGTCGGGATTCTAAGAACAAACGATGCTCCATACGATTTAGGAAGCAGTTCAAGCGAAAAGCGTGATACGAATATGTTGATTCTTTTAATTTCCCGATGATATCTATAAAATAAACATATAATGTATTTTATGAAAAAATATATACCTATAAATAACTTTTTTTTAATATCGAAGGTTTTTCATAGTTTGAATGCCATAAACATTTTGTCTATTACACTTTTGAATTTAAAAAAATTGTTTCATTTTTAGCACATCAGGTCACCACTCATTATCAGAGCCCATTGGGCCTTGGCCTGTCCAAGATTCTCTAGTCGTCTATATTGAGCTGTTTACCTTGTAAGCCGTCGTAGTATAGATCTACTATAGTTTCGAATACTAGAATTGGCTTCTATTATACATAAACATTCGCGGTACTTTAATTTCTTCCATTGGGACAATAGCCAGCATATTGTAGCAATTCCGTCTGGTTTTGACTAATACAATTACTTGGTTTGACTACCAAAAACATCGCTTTAATTAAAACATATATGGGCGATAGAAGCGATACGGTGCGACAGATCAGCGTGCATATTGAAATACCAAACAAATAATTAATAATCACTTTTGTTATCGCTATCTGTAATCTATAAATATAACTTGGATTGTTTAAATGAAATATACGTAAATTGCATATAGTTCTTCACTTACAAGAATATGGTAGAACCTAGATGGTAAAATGGTCTACAAATTTGTCATTCATGAATTTTGAATTACGGATTATATTACATTATGACAACTAATGTAATTAAGTGTAGTATAATTGTTAGAGAATTAATTTCCAACCCACAATTATACTGTATTTACAATATTATTAACCTACGCAGTATAAAACTTTAAGTAGGCGTCTGGTAGATAGTACCGGTGAACCCAGAGCTGCCTTGTGATTCTGTAACTCACTTTTCGAACTCACACAGCGGTTTTCACAGCGGCGGTCGCGCTCAAATCAGTCGTAAAGCAGTCATTTTACGATTTGGCATTCTGATAAACAATAAACTACAAGCTCCCTCCTTATCAGAATGCCAAATCGTAAAATGAGTTCGAAATGTGAGTTACAGAATCGCAAGGCTGGTGCGAGGAAATGCTGCCAGCGTAGCGTAGCGCAGGTACACTGCCACAGGGACCCAACTTTTAAAATTTATTTAAATTTTCTATCTATCAATTTTAAATTATTATTATAGTATAATTGAGTTTATATAGCCCAATATTCTGCTATGAAACTTTCATCAGCAACATAAGATAACAGTATACGAGTGATTAAGTTTACATTCTAAAGTCTTCTCGAATGTAAGTTAAAAGTTTTCAACATTATCTAAGGCTTCAAGTTCTAGGAACATATAAAGCAAGATATGGAATTTATTCTAGATAAGAAAATGGAATATCTTGAATACATAGTATTGTCTTTGATTAACATAACCTTTACACATTTAAAGAAAAAAACTTTTTACCTGTGGCCTGTCTTACATAGGGCAAACTAAACGCAATATGTCCAGCAGACTCAAAGAACACATAGCGGACATAAGACATAGACGACACACAAAATCAGCAGTCTGTGAACACATACTAGATAGGCCTAATCACTACATATGCTTTGACCAACCGAAAGTACTTGCGAAAGAGAAAAGATTCTTCCCAAGATTAGTACGCGAAGCCATTGAAATCAAAAAACACCCCAATTTCAATAGAGAAGACGACCTAAAATTGTCAAACACCTGGGATCTAATAATATCCAAATTAAAACCTCAAAAAGAAAAACAATCCGCGAAAATAGAGGACACCGTGAACCTATTTTTGCCAAAACCCTCCATCTTTTAGTCGATACCAACTCCGGGGAAATAAATACATATAATGCAACTTTCTCTACAGCTGTGATACTTTTTGACATCCAACACCTTTTGTCTTCAGTAACAGTGACCACGCACGCTGTAAAGCACGCGAAACGTCGGATAAATTTAAAATTATGTTAAATAATTGTAAATTTATAACAATACATAACTTTAATCCGGTAAAAAGTTTTTTCTTTAAATCTTGAATACAATTTGTAAATGTTTATAGTTAGTTGAACTAATATGTTACTTATACGTATATTTAAATTAATTGTCAATGAGTCATTGTGAATATGGGAATTCTCGAGACAGATGGAATACCTCTATCGATAACTATTTACAGGAGATATATTATTAAATATAATTGGAAATTATTCGATGAGCGCAAATGTGCCCTCTTTATCTTTTGTGTAGGATGTTTATTATGATCGGAGTTGCGAAACTTGGGTTGATACTCTGTATCCGCCAATACCGCCAGTGATCACGATCTCAATTTCAATATTGAGTTTTTGGCCAGCACGGTCCCGGCAAAATCAGCGCTTCAAATTCCTTCTTCAAAAAGTGAAGTACATCAAAACTGAGTACAGACACGTCGCTATCGCTGTCCCTATTAGAGTGAGCTAGTACAGGCGGAACTGCGTTCCATGCTGAACAGGGTAGTTCAAACATCACCAACTCCCAGAAACATACGTAATTGTTAAAAATACTTATAAATTAGATAAAGGAATTACGCGTAAATAATATTAAAAAGACTTACGAATCTAATTATAGACATTTCAATATTCTGAAGTCAGTTAAAACAAACGTAGTCCTAAATCGACTATAAAATAGAATAAACTGATGCTTTCACGAGCTTTTATATCAATAAGTTTTAATATTATTATGTAATAAGCAAAACTTCTATAATAACCGAAATTACTACGCCCCATTTCCTCAAAAATAAGGGTCGTGCTAACGTTTGCCTCGTGATCTTATTTCCATAAGATAAACGAAAAGTGAGCTTGAAGTACCAATAAACATCAAAGCTCCTATAATTTTATTATTAAACCGCTTCATTTACTTTCGACATTTCTAAATTAGTACAGATCACGTAGTTAATATGTGTATTAACGTTATATTATTGTGTTAGATGTAAAACATATTTAAGAAGCACCCAAAATTTAATCATAAAAGTATTTTTTCCTTTTTTGTATTTTAAGACAGATAGTGTATTGCTTACTGTACTGATATTGGGTATACTTATTGTTATATATGTCATCGTAAAATTGTAAACACCGTTAGATTGTAATCTATCTCGCGAGATTGTAAACTGTCGAAAGATTGTGAACCTCAACGAACTGCTTACAATTTAACGTATTATTATTCGGTAGATTGTAATCTATCGAAGTGAAACCGTCAAATTGTGAAACGGATCGCAACTCGCGCGCTAATTGGTTGAACGGAATATGCCCCGCGCCACCATATTTGTTTGTTAATTCGTTTGTTGTCGAATGTAACTTGATTGTTTTGATGAATGTAAATTGATGTCGTGTTGAAAGTAACTCACAGCTTTAGAATTAGTTATATGAAATTGTTGGGAAGTAAAATTAATCTGTGATTGACCAAAGAAGTTTGAATGATGACTAAGTTAGTGTTGGAAATGAAATGAAAGAATATTCATGACGTGTGGCACGGGGCATATTCCGTTCAACCAATCAGCGCGCGAGGTGCGATCCGTTTCACAATTTGACGGTTTCACTTCGATAGATTACAATCTACCGAATAATAATACGTTAAATTGTAAGCAGTACGCTGAGGTTCACAATCTTTCGACAGTTTATAATCTCGCGAGATAGATTACAATCTAACGGTGTTTACAATTTTACGTTAACATATACATTATTAGCATACCCCTGTAGACCCCTGCAATCGTGAGTCAAAATTTATACTTTAATAGTAGCCCTGTGTTCCACTGCTTCTCTTCAAATATTCAGACATGTGCCAAGATAGTTTGACAAAACCACCTTAATTATATTACTATACCTACTTTCTTTCGTTTCTTAGTCGATAAGGTTTTATTTTGTTATGGCTGGAAGTTTTAGATTCAATATACAGGTTCAACAGTATTTACGTGTTACAAGGCACAAAAATATATCTTCCTCATTTAGCAGATCCTATGTCAATCTTTTACGGATAAAGTTCCCGTAATTTTGTTGTTAGAAAATATATTTTTTTACTTTATCATTAAATTATAATTTTTGTTTACAATATTCGAGCACTCGAATTATTACAACGGAAATTGCTGCGTAGCGTAAGTCTATCCAAAATGTGTAAATCGAAACTCAATTTCATTTCGACTTACAAACATGTAACACGAATCATAATAGAAAGTAACATCTAATCATTAAACATAATTAAATCATCACGACATTTTAAAACTTTAAAATAAAACGTGAATATACGTAAAAAAGTAATGCAGAAAAGAAGATGTAGTCACTAGTCTTAGGTAAATCAAAGTAAGAGTTGCAAGTGGAACAAAACAAAACGATTCAACTTGCAAAACCATGCCTCTGCTTCTTGCGCAATTGTTTTTGTAACCGAGCCGTTGTGGTCTTAGCTGTTTTTCTCTTTTCGTCCCACTTCTTATTTTTTATTTTTAACGTCTCTAGCAGCTTTACGTTCGAGTACTGGAATTTCCTGGTTCACAATGTAAATGTTTGAAATATGAAAATATTTTTTTACTGCAGTGTAAGTATCATAAGACAATTTATTAACAGTGTAAATACGTGCATTCATTAATCACCGTTCTCATATTGACTGTCGTTTTATTAATGATAACATGTTGTTATATATATATATACACATGTTATAACCTATAATATATATATATGTACAAACCACTAAATCATTTTAAATTTACGTATTCAGATTTTTCCATTATCCAAATTGAGAGGCGGAATTTCCTTAAGTCCGTCTGTAGTGTGTGTCACTAGTAGGCTCATGTCCTTGTCCTATAAACCTGAGTCGTAAATCAAGTAAGACATAAAATTTTGACTATCGTTAATAATGATTTGTAAATTGTTATTTCACCTTATACCCGAAGTACTACATTCAGATTTGTTTGTGTCGGTGATTAAAATAATATACTTGACATCAATACGCATGAATAGCTGACTAACGACGAAATATGAACTCGTCTTTCATTGGGTATTACTAGGTAAGCATAAATCAGATTTTCAGTTTTAGCTTTTAACTAGG